TAGGAGCGAGCTGATAGGTAGCCACATTTACCGAAGCTCCTGCCATGGCCACAACCACGAAAGCGGACACGGTCACAGTATCGCACTTGGCCAGCACGACGCCCATCAAACTGCTGCAGACGATCACGAAGCCTGGGGTGGAGAGGCCATTTAGCTATACGTCCGATTTTAGTGGAGAAAATGTCCCTGAGTTATTAACATTAGTATTAGTATTATTGCCATTGCTATTATTATTATTATTATTATTATCATTGCCATTATTATTATTAGTATTATTCTTGATAATAGTGTTGTTATTATTATTAGTATTAGTATTAGTATTATCATTATTATTATTATTATCATTGTCATTATTATTATTAGTGTTATTCTTTATGATATTGTTATTATTATCATTATTATTATTATTATTATCATTATTATTATTATTATCATTATCATTATCATTATCATTATCATTATCATTATCATTATCATTATCATTATCATTATCATTATCATTATTATTATTATTATTATTATTATTATTATTATTATTATCATTATCATTATCATTATCATTATCATTATTATCATTATCATTATTATCATTATTATTATTATTATTATTATTTATTGTTATTATTATTACTATTATTATCATTACTATCATCATTATCATTTCTTATTACTAGTCAATATCTTTTCTTGGATCAGATATATGATGATTTCCTTAGAGTACTTTCATGCTGCTGAGAGGTCGATGATGGAACTTTAATGGAAGAAATTTAACTAATTGATTTTATCTTCATTATCCCCGACTAAAAAAAAATATTCGCAATTTTCCCAGATAAAAAAAAATATTCCCTGATTCTTTATTTTCATTATTATTAGATCTGATATTGAATGAAGATTTTCCCTAAGCCTGGGCTGGGGAGGTCAGACTTTAGCGGAGAAAAAATCCCTGGTTCACTTATTTATTTAGTGTTTTTTTAAATCTTTGGTATGATATTAAATGGTGATTTCCCTAAATTCCTACCATAATGTTGCAGATCACGAAGCCTGGAGTTGGCGCCATTAGTACGTCAGATATTCGTGAAGAAAATTTCCCTGTTTTATTCTATTTCTATTTATTTTTTCTTTATCTTGAAGATTTCCCTTAACTCCCATTATACTGCTAAATATGAATCCCGTTAATGATACGTCAGATTTTAGTGATGATTGTTTTTTTTTCCTGAATTTCTTTATACTGGATATGACGTTAAAAGTTCCTCCAACTTGGATCTGATATTGAATAGAAAAGATTTCTCTAAATTCGCTCAATCTGGATGTGAAATTAGATGAAGATTTCTCATAAATTACTTCACAATTTGCATCTGACGTAAAACGATTTCCTCAATTTCCTTCAATCTGGATTTGAATTGAAATAACGCCAATATAACTTCCACCCATCGACGTCAACGCAACCGACGTCAACGCAACCGACGTCAATGCAACCGACGTCACTGCAACCGAGGTCACTGCAACCGACGTCACTGCAACCGACGTCAACGCAACCGACGTCAATGCAACCGACGTCAACGCAACCTACCAACCCACAACCACGAGATTCCGACTCACCGACAGCGTACAAGAGACGCCTGACGTTAACCTTCGTCAGGTAGTTCCGTTGGATGAGGAAGTCACTCAGTTTCCCGTAGAAGATGGCGAAGAAGTAGCTGACGGCTGTGCCCACCACACACACGTACCCAGCGGACCGTAGACTCAAGCCGATCTGAAACCCGGCCAAAATAGGGGGTTAATAGAGGAAAATGATGAAGGAAGGGGTGAAGAGAGAGGGAGAGAGAGAGAGGAGGAGGAGGGAGGAGTTAAAGGGAGAGGGGAAGCTAATGGGAGGGGGAGAAGGAGAGAGGAGGGGGAGTAGAGGAAAATTCCTGATCGATTTATTCTTTGAAGGAATCGTGTTTTGAAGGAATTGTTGATAACGAAGGGAGGAAGAAGAGAACGTGGGACTATGTTTCTTCTTGCGTTTTCTTCTTCATATGTTGAAGGATATGTTGATATAACAAAGGGAGGAAGAAGAAAGTAGACAAATATGCTTATTCTTGTGTTTTCTTGTTCTTCTCTTCGTTTGTTTCATCTATAATTTATAAAATAATCTATAATTTACCTCAGTTTTTATATGACTTCAAAAAACAACGAAGGACAGAACAAGAACAAAATACGAATATGCTTAATTGTGTGTTTCCTCGTTCTTCTATTTACTTAATGACTTCTCTTTAATACCCAGTGACATCTGGCAATTCACCAATCTGTCACGTTCTTACCCTGGCCTTATTGTGACAGCGTTTCTTTTTTTATGCAAATTAAGCCGCTTAAAGTAGTAAAGTAATAAAACCCTCTTGAAGACCTCAAAATACTACGTACTTGACCCAACCCTTATTGTCACAAGTGTTCCTTACTGATGTAAAAGTAGGCTTAGTAATATGAAAAATCACGTTCTTTTTTTTTTCTTTATCGTGTGACCCGTTTCTTTATTCAATGCAAATGAAGCTTAGCGATTCCCCCACCTGGTTTGTGAGGAACGTCGGCGCCTCCGTAGTGAGCAGCGCCGCCATCCAAGATCCTGAGAACTCGGCGACGATGGCGGCCAGGAACGTCCAGCATCTGAAGACGTGGCCCCAGGGAACGCGTTTCTGGAGGGGAGGAAGCGGCGTGGGTTGTTGACTAGGGCGGTTCTTGGATGCTTGGGTTTTGGGACTTCGAGTGGGGATTGTGTGTGTGTGTTGTGAGGGAAGGGGTAGGGAGGTGTATGTGGGTGTCATTCTGTTTTTTTTTTCACTTTTATCCTCTCTTTTTTTTCTTTCTTTTCTTTTTTTCTACTTCTATGTGGATTGGGTGAAGTTGTAATTTCCGTGTATGTGAGTGTGTAGAGGGGGAAGGGGTATTTTGCGTGCATTTGTGTGGAGGGAGGTGTCATGCCTGCGTTCCCGTTCGTGTTTGTGTTATTGTCTTTCTATGTGAACATGGGTGGTTCTTAGTTAGTGCTCCTCATCTCATTTTGCAGGTCTTTCGCATTAAAAAGTAAATATACATGAGACATCTCGACCTCTACTGGGAATCTCCATCCCAGTGAACATTCGTAAACTTTACTCACTAAAATTCTTGCATCCTACAAAAATGATAATATTAATAGAAAACAAAACAAAACAAAAAATAAATAAATAAATAGATAAATAAAAACTTGCAAACAACCCCTTGCATCTCACCCTTGGTCTGACATCGAGGTTGACCGCCAGGAGACTCTTTTCCTCGGGCGTGATCGAGGGGTGCTCCTCGGGCGACTCGCGGACGAGGGCGAGCCACAGGGGCGTCCACGCAAGAGCCAGCAAGCCGCCGATCCAGAAGACCCAACGCCAGCCGAACCACTCCACCACCAAGCCGGACCCGCCCAGAGCCACCATGTTCCCCAAGAGCATACCTGCGGAGGGTATGAGACGCTTGGGGCTCCTTCGGCAGAGGACCGGACTAGCCTCGCGCCCGCCAGCTTATCACCCGCCAGCTTATCACCCGCCAGCTTATCACTGAGACAGTCCGACGGTGATGGGCTGACAGGCGCGAGAGACTGGCCCGGCTCTCCGTTTAAGGTGTCCGAAATGTCTCTGAGTATGAGCGTTGTGAAGGGCTTTTTGGGCCCTTCGTAGCAGGGTCATGTGAGTGTTTGGAAGTGAATCATATGTAATAATACCAATAATGACGAAGATCTAATAATAAATAACAATGATATTAATCCCAGTAAGAGTAATAAAAGCATCAGAAGCAGGCACAGGAATCCAGACACAATTACGACCAAACACACGACCCATTCAAAGACGATCCCCCTGAAGCGCGCGCCCTCACCAGAGAAGGCGACGGAGACCATCGTCGCGAGCTCGTCGGGCGGGGACCACCTCGAGAGCAGGCTGTAGAGCGCGGGGAAGGCGGGCCCCTGCACCAGCCCCATGGCCAGCCGAAGCCCCGCCAGCGCCAGAGGGTGGAGGTTGGCGGCGGTCGGGCACAACAAGGACAGCAGACCCGACGCACCGAGACTCGCAGCCATGGTCACACGCGCGCCCACCAACTCGGCGATACGGCCGCCTGGAGGAGGATAAGGAGGAGGAGGAGGGAGAGGAGGAAGAGGAGGTGGAGGAGGAGGAGGAGGAAGAAGGAGGAGGGAGGAGGAGGAAGAGAAGGAGGAGGAGGAGGAGGAGGAGGAGGAGGAGGAGGAGGAGGTGGTGGAGGTGGTGGAAGTGGAGGAGGGGGAGGATGAATAGGAGGAGGAGGAGGAGGAGGAGGAGGTGGTGGTGGAAGAGGAGGAGGGGGGAGGATGAAAAGGAGGAGGAGGAGGTGGTGGAAGAGGAGGAGGGGGAGGATGAATAGGAGGAGGAGGAGGAGGAGGAGGAGGAGGAGGAGGAGGAGGAGGAGGAGGTGGTGGTGGAAGAGGAGGAGGGGGGAGGATCAATAGAAGGAGGAGGAGGAGGAGGAGGAGGAGGAGAAGGAGGAGGAGGAGGAGGAGGAGGAGGAGGAGGAGGAGGAGGAGGAGGAGGTGGTGGAAGAGGAGGAGGGGGGAGGATGAATAGGAGGAGGAGGAGGAGGAGGAGGAGGAGGAGGAGGAGGAGGAGAAGAAGAAGAAGAAGAAGAAGAAGAAGAAGAAGAAGAAGAAGAAGAAGATGAAGAAGAAGAAGAAGAAGAAAAAAAAAGTAAAAAAAGAAAAAGAAAAAGAAAAAGAAGAAGGGAAGGGGAGAGGAGGGGGGGGAGGTTAATGCTATATTAATATAACATTTATCATAAGTATTAGTTATTATCATTATCACTCTTTATTTTCATTCTCTGGGGATTTTTTAAACATTTATTCAAAAGGATGATTCGGAAGGACGTAGCAATAACATAAACTTCTGAGGTTTTTTTTATCTTATAAACTATTGTAATGATGGCATTAATAAAATTAATCATAATTATTATTATAAAGTTCATCATTATCCAAATCAAAAATACTATACTGCCACAATCTTACAGATATTGATATTAGAATTCGAAATACCTCCGTTATCACTGTAATTTCTATTACTGATACCAATTTACTCAAATATTACAATTATGACTACTCTACCATCGTTATCATTGTAATCCTTATCATTACTTTAATTATCATAACTACTATAATGATTATGTCATTACTATCATTACACTTAATAATGCTATATTATCCTAATTTGATCATGAATATTTCTTGATTTTTACAATTGTAACTCTTTATTACTCTTTCCCCAATCAACGTTAATATTAATTTTATAATTATCATTAACATTATCATTCTTACAATTACAATCACTTGCATTCTTACAATTACTATCATCATTACCATTATTGTTAGTTATCATTACTATTTTCATCACTAATATCGCACTAACAATACTTATGGTAGTAGCAATGTCTCTATTATAAGAATGAATATGATAAAACTTTACCACAGAAGAAATAACAATACTAGATAATATTAAATCAACATTATTAATAGTTTTATCAACAATCAACAATCACGTCCTCCCCCACAATCTATTTATAGCAACAATAAGAAATAATGCACTTTCTGAGGCCATAAAATTACTCGTGGATTTTAGCGCGCGAAAGAGAGATACAAACAATAACAAAAAAACAGATTACAGATTACTATAAACATTCTTTTTTGTAAGTTGTCATGAGAAAGTGTCAGTCAGATCATCCGTTGACAGCTTTGATTTATACCGAGTGACTGTTGAGAGGTAAATCCTTGCTGAAGCTCGGGTTGCACGTTCTTGCAGGTTGCATGCTAACGCGTATCCGGCACTCCTTGTCACATACACACGCGCGCATATGTACAACACACACACACACACACACACACACACACACACACACACACACACACACACACACACACACACACACACACACACACACACACACACACACAACAAAACAGACACAAAACACACACACACACACACAACCACACACACACACACAAACACACACAAACACACACACACACACACAACCACACACACATACACGCTACACAAAACACACACACAAAACACACACAACAAAACAGACACAAAACACACACACACACACAAACACACACAAACACACACACACACACACACAACCACACACACATACACGCTACACAAAACACACACACAAAACACACACAACAAAACAGACACAAAACACACACACACAACCACACACACACACACAAACACACACAAACACACACACACACACACAACCACACACACATACACGCTACACAAAACACACACACACAAAACACACACAACAAAACACAGACACAAAACACAGACACCCACCTGCCGCCTTTGTGATGAAATATCCCCAGAAGAACATCCCAAGGATAATTCCCGTCATCTCCTCACTCCAGTCATATTCTCCGTCGGCCTATGGGGGGGGAGAGGTCATGGCAAAGGTCAAAGGTCATCTTCACTCAAAGCAGTTTATGAACTTTTTTTTTTTTTTTTTTTTGGGGGGGGGGACAGGTTATCATAGGTTAGTAATCTACCTGGCTCTTTCTTTTTTTGGGGGGAGGGGGGACAGGTTATTTTAGGTTAGTAATCTACCTGACATTCTGAGAGGCCGTTAAGGAGGAGAGTATATTTCAGAGTATATTTAGACACGTAATTAATTACAAATATAGATGTGGAGGAAGGTGTGTGTGTGTATATATATCTGTATATATATATATATATATATATATATATATATATATATATATATATATATATATATATATATATATATATATATATATATATATACATAAAGAGAGATAAATCGAAGGCTTTAAGCCAGTAAAACCATATTAAAAAGAAGAAAAAAGAAAAATAGGATTAGTTTAAGCTTCCGACATGGCCTTACGTGAGGATCAACGCCCCCTCCGTTCGTTGCGTTAATAGCTGCCGGGCATATTTCTTTATCATGTGTTGCGTTGATGGGCATGTGAGGGGCTTTCACCATGGCAACGATGGCAACACTGATGCTGTACCTTACCAAGTAGTCTACGGCGACGCCCACCATGCCCAGGAACACCAACACATGTCGTTTTTGCGGGTTCCCACATCCTGCTGGGGAAGGAGGTTTTTCGCTTGTGAAAAATTATTAGCGAAAGGTTGCTGCGCTGAAGAATGTATCGTTAGCAGAGCTTTAAGAGAATGACAACTATTTTCTGCTATTATGGTATTTTCTTTTTTCTTCATTTTTTGTTTAACTATTACTATAAGTACAAAGCTTGTATGTTTACCGTATATTTACATGTACGTAGTATTTTAGTCATTGAATTTTAGGCATAATACCATGCATTACGATACATTCACAGAACTTTAAAGACAGAAACTAAACAAATGCTTGACATTCTATTTGTAAGGTATATTCATCTGCATACCAATATAACAACATAAAGAAAATACATATAAGACC